TCTTAAATTGCTCAGAAGTAGGGACCACATTTCTTTTTTCTAACCTACCTGGCTCAGAAGTATATATTTAAATGTGCCCTACTAATGTGCAGTATTTTTTTTTTTTTTTTGGTACAGGGAATTGAACTCAGGACCTTGGGCTTACCAGGCAGAGATGCTTTTGCTGGTGAGCTATATCCCCAGCCCAGTATTTTTTTTTTTTCTTAACAAAACATGTCTTTACTTTTTATCTCCCCTTTTAAATTTTTCTTCCTATTTCTCTCTTATTTAAAATAATAGTAAATTGAGAGGGCTTTTTTCCTATTACATTCTAGGTGATTACAGCCTAGATACATATTGTAAACATTTTGGAGACAGTAACAAGTTGTCCTCATGTCCTGGTAATCCTGCACTGCTGTTAGAGGTCACTTATTAGGTGGGCGTGGTGGAGCATGCCTGTAATCCCAGCATTTAGAAGGCTGAGGCAGGAGGATCACTGCAAGTGCGAGGCCAGCTTGGGCTATGTAGTGAGTTCAAGGCCTGAACCAAGTAGGGAGAGCCTGCCTTTAAAAAAAAAAAAGATTACTTAATAGCTTCCTGAGAAACAAAAGGAATACACTGGTGTAGTTTCAGAAGTAACCAGGAGATACAGCAACATCCTTGGCCATTGAACAAAGCAGCACCCATGGCCCTATCGTACTTCTGCCTTTAATAGAGTGTGCGAAAGATGACACAGGAAAGTTAGAAGAATACAAATGAACAGTATAGAAAGCAAAGAAGGGAAAAATAGTAAGAACAAGAATGAGCTAAAATTAAGGTAGAGAAGAGAATACAGGATTGGTGGGAAGGATGTTAAGAGAGCAACCCAAGTCCATCATCACCTCTCCCTGCCGTGGTTTGAGAAGCAGAGGCTGCTATCTTGCCTCAAAGAGAGCAACTGTTTGCTTTTGAGTAACATTCACTTTTTTTTAATTGTCTATTTTCAATTTTAGTACATGTGCTGCCGAAGCGAGCACTAATCATCTATTTTCATTATCAGGTAGGGGAAATTTTTTTTCCCACTCTGAGCTGGAATGGGATTACATGCCAGTAATTTTATTTATTTATTGGTATTTTTGAGACAGGGTCTTGCTATGCAGTTCAGGCTGGCCTTGAACTCACTTTGTAACCCAGGCTGGTCTCGAACTCTGAATGATCCTCCTGCCTCAGCCTCCTGAGTGCTGGGATTATAGGCGTGCGCCGCCATACCCGGCTTGATGCCAGTAATTTTAATGTTAACCAGAATTCAGTTGGTTGATCAGGGAAAATATGTTAAAAAAAATCACAGAAGGTATTGTAGGTCAGAATGTATTCTCAGCAATTACTGATTGTTTGTCCCCAGCACTGAGGTACAAGAATGGACCAGTGACAGCGCAATGGTAAGAAGTAGGATATGAGTATGATAATAGCACAGAGTAGGGCCTTAATGTAGCCTCAGCAAAGTTCTGAGAAGGTTGTCAATATAAGTTGATATTCCAAGTCCCGAATGTAAGGTGGTAGAGGGCAGGAGAGGGTATTCAGTCAGAAGGAGCAAAGACCCAAAGAGAGAGCACAGTCCATTCAGAAGTCATAGCCACTTCAGGAAGGTATGAAGGATTATTTAATTTTTAGTGATGATTGTTTTACTACCTCAGTACTGTGGATTATTATTTAAGACAGGGTCGGAGTCCAGGGATATAGCTCAGTGGCATAAGTGCTTGCCTGGCAAGTGCAAGGTCCTGAGTTAGATTCATGGTCCCTGCTGCCCACTCCCCCCAAAAAAGACAGTCTTGCTATGTGACCCAAGCTGGTCTTGAACTTGCGATGCTCTTGCCTCACCCTTCTGAAGACTGGGAATACAGATGTGTTCCACTGTACCTGCCTTAAATTATTGAGTCATGATTATGTTTGCTAGAGCACTGAAAGTTAAAAGTTTTTATTTTGGAACAATATTTCTCTTTTAAAATGAAAATACCACTTGTTAGGCATGATTGCACATCCTTGCAATCTCAGCATTTGGGAGGCTGAGGCAGGAGGATCAGGAGTTTGAAGCCAGCCTGGATGACATAGGGAGACCCTGTCTCAAAAGAAAAGATACCAAAAATTGCACTTCTATCTAGAGATTCTAAGGAGAAAATGTAAATGAAATATGGCCTTTGAATTAGCAAACAGTTAATAATCCAGTGTTCAGGAAGAAAGAAGATACAAAAAGGTGAGGTGGTATGCACTTGTACTCCCAGCTTGGGAGGGAGGTTGAGGCAGGCAGATCATTTGTTGTATTTGAGACCAAATACAAGATAGCATCTCAAAAAAAAAAAAGGAATGAAGGAAAAAGATAGCAGTGCACACAGTATTCCTCTGTCATCCAACTTTTGAATCTGATTGTTTTTGTTTCTTTTTTTTTGTGGTACCGGGGATTGATAGACGACCTTGCGCTTGCCAGGCAGGTGCTTATGCCACTGAGCTATATCCCCAGCCCTGTTTTTGTTTCTTGAGACAGGGTCTCGCTATGTAGTTCAGGCTGGCCTTGAACTTAACTGTGTAGCCCCAGCTGGCCTGGAACTCCAGTGATCCTCCTGCCTCAGC